TGCGCTCACTTGAGCCCTATACTGTATACACCAGGAGCCTGCTGAGCCACAGCGCAGTGGCAGCCAGTCTGGGCAGTGGCCCGCGACACCCACAGAGGCCGGAAAGGGGCTTGGAATGCTGATGCGGAAGACTGCGCTCCATCGGGGAAGGTTCCTCTCGCTGCTGAGCCCAGCTTCAGCAGCCAGGGTCCTCCCGGCCAGTGGCCTGCGCTTGCACAGGCGCACAAAGGGTCTCCGACATCCTTGCATCAGTCGTGCTAGTGCAGCCACATAGTCCTTGATGTGATAGGCGAGCCATCCTGATGCGAGTTTGCAGCAGAGCATGTGCCAGACAAAGCAGCTTCATTGAGATGTCATACTGTTGTGCAGGACAGGTTTCCGAATGCATTGACATGGAGCTTGGACCATGAAGCGGATACACACTTCGTCCTACAATTGTGTTTCCAAAGTTCCAGAGATTGACCGATGTGATTCCTGATATGTTCACGCAGTGCCGCAGAGGATATGGTCAGCACCGACGCCAATAATCTACTTTCACGTGCACCGTATGTGGTAGCACTGCATTCCGGCAGGTCGCGGCTGTGCCGCCGGAGCAAAGCCAAAGCCCTTCCGGCCAGGCCCTTTCGCCTGCAGAGGTCCGCTGAGGGGTGCAAGAAGACTTGTTCCTCCACCTGTCGGCAATGGGACGTCTTTGTCGCATGCAGTGTGATTGACAAATGGCTCACTCATTCAACATGGGGAGCAGGTGCTGAGTGTCTGGTGTTCCCAACGCACTCTCGCGCACAGAGACAGTCGCCTTCCTCGCGTTGTGTTTCAGATGGGGTCGGTGGAGTTCGAGGGATCATTCTTGCGAGCTTCGATTTGGGGAAGCTTTCGACGCAGCTGTGACAAGCAGTTTTGTTGGTTGGCCCGCTGCGCTCACTTGAGCCCTACACTGTACACCAGGAGCCTGCCGAGCCACAGCGCAGTGGCAGCCAGTCTGGGCAGTGGCCCGCGACACCCACAGAGGCCGGAAAGGGGCTTGGAATGCTGATGCGGAAGCCTGCGCTCCATCGGGGAAGGTTCCTCTCGCTGCTGAGCCCAGCTTCAGCAGCCAGGGTCCTCCCGGCCAGTGGCCTGCGCTTGCACAGGCGCACAAAGGGTCTCCGACATCCTTGCATCAGTCGTGCTAGCGCAGCCACATAGTCCTTGATGTGATAGGCGAGCCATCCTGATGCGAGTTTGCAGCAGCGCATGTGCCAGACAAAGCTGCTTCATTGAGATGTCATACTGTTGTGCAGGACAGGTTTCCGAATGCATTGACATGGAGCTTGGACCATGAAGCGGATACACACTTCGTCCTACAATTGTGTTTCCGAAGTTCCAGAGATTGATCGATGTGGTTCCTGATATGTTCACGCAGTGCCGCAGAGGATATGGTCAGCACCGACGCAAATAATCTACTTTCACGTGTACTGTATGTGGTAGCACTGCATTCCGGTAGGTCGCGGCTGTGCCGCCGGAGCAAAGCCAAAGCCCTTGCGGCCAGGCCCTTTCGCCTGCAGAGGTCCGCTGAGGGGTACAAGAAGACTTGTTCCTCCACCTGTCGGCAATGGGACGTCTTTGTCGCATGCAGTGTGATTGACAAATGGCTCACTCATGCAACAGCGGGAGCAGGTGCTGAGTGTCTTGTGTTCCCAACGCACTCTCGCACACAGAGACAGTCGCCTTCCTCGCGTTGTGCTTCAGATGGGGTCGGTGGAGTTCGAGGGATCATTCTTGCGAGCTTCGATTTGGGGAAGCTTTCGACGCAGCTGTGACAAGCAGTTTTGTTGGTTGGCCCGCTGCGCTCACTTGAGCCTAATACTGTACACCAGGAGCCTGCCGAGCCACAGCGCAGTGGCAGCCAGTCTGGGCAGTGGCCCGCGACACCCACAGAGGCCGGAAAGGGGCTTGGAATGCTGATGCGGAAGCCTGCGCTCCATCGGGGAAGGTTCCTCTCGCTGCTGAGCCCAGCTTCAGCAGCCAGGGTCCTCCCGGCCAGTGGCCTGCGCTTGCACAGGCGCACACAGGGAATCAGTCGTGCTAGCGCAGCCACATAGTCTCTGATGTGATAGGCGATCATGAGATGTCGTAATTACTGTTGTGCAGGACCCGCCGGAGCAAAGCCAAAGCCCTTCCGGGCAGGCCCTTTCGCCTGCAGAGGTCCGCGAGGGTGTGCAAGAACAGTCGTTCCTCCACGGTATTTCGGCATTGACTCGTCCAGGCGTTCATTCGCACGTCGTGTGATTGATTGTGCATAGAAAATTACGGTGCGGTTATGGATTGTCGTGCTGTTAACCCGCTCGCATACACAGACAGTTGCCTAGCCAATTGATTTGTGGAAGTTTGAGTCGTGTGACAGGCAGTTGTCCAGTTCCGCAGGGCCTGCCTCTGTTGAGCCCATGCAGGAATCTCTCCATGCCAACTTCGACATACGTCACGTGTCAGAGGATCCATTCTGACATTTGCCATGCTTCACATAACTCACAGATTAACAGTGAACCTACTATAGTTCTTGTCGAGCGAAAATTTGCGCAATCAGGCGCCCGCTGAGCCACCGCGCGGTGGCCAGCCCGGGCTGTGGCCTGACACACCCGCAGAGGCTGGAGTTTTCAAAGCAACATAGGTTTTATACAGGTGTTTTCAACAAAACCTATGCACTACGAAGGAAGCCGTTTCCGGAAGCCGCACATGCTCAAGCCGGAGAGGTTCCCAGGTCTCCGGAGCCCGGGCACAGCGAGAGCGTTTCCAGCCAGTGGCCTGCACCTGGACAGGCCTGCTAGGGCGTTAGCCCTAACCCACTACATAGGGCCATAGGGGCTCTAGTACCCTATATAGTAGGTACCTGGGGGGTTAGGGTAGGTTCGTCAGAGCACAACCTCTTTGCGACATAGTTTGACAGCTCAGCTCTGTTCTGCATTACAATGCATTACAATGCATTACACCCCGCGGAATCTGCTATTGACAACTTGTTTGACCAAGCCTTGACATAGTGTGCGGTTGCGGCAGGCTTGCATGCTGCAAGATCTTTTCTAGCATGGTCGTGATAGACCGAACGTGGTGCCTCCACAAAGTTTCGAGAACACGCATCCACATGCACAGAGGCAGCGGCAGAGACCCGTGCAGAGAAAGCCCAGACAGAACCAGAGAGAGAGAGAGAGAGAGAGAGAGAGCGCGGCCTCGCGGGTTGGGAGGTTATCCCTCCTGACTCTAACCCCTAGCAAAGCAAAGCACAGCGCGAGGGAGGCGACCGCCCTAGACGAGCAGGCAGACAGAGGCAGGTAGACGATGTTAGACATAGGGAATCAAAGACACGACCAACTACCTTCGGAACTTTAAACGCCATAGCCTAAACCCTAAACGCAACTACTTGCTTCTTGTTCCATGCCGTATCAATGCTTCAGACAAGGCTGCTGCGCGACCGAGCGCCTGTTGCTAGAGACTAGACTCCTGAACATGAAGGCTTATGGCTTGCGGGATTTTAAGTTGGTTTAAGGCTTATCGGGTTGAAGTGTGCAGCTTCGAGTGCATGCTCCGCAGGTTGCTGCAAATGGGCCCAGCAGCAATGCCCTTCAGTGGCCTCCATCAGTTGAGGCTCACGCGAGGTTGCAAGAGAGAATCATTGTTGCCCATCCTTAGATTATTATTATTACTATTATTATTATTAGTATTATTAGTATTACTATTATTACTATTATTACTATTATTACTATTATTACTATTATGAGAGGGAGACTCTGCGGCTTTGTCTGACCGTTTTTGCACAATGTTTTGCGAGACAAATCGTTATCCATCTGTGTCGTTGACCTGACTGCCGACACATCGGTCTGCAGTAACCTTCGCCTCTCCAGACTAATGGTTGCGGGTTTATGTGGGGGTTTCCAAAAATAGGGGACCCTAATATAGTATCCTAAATAAATATAGTAGGATCCTTAATATAAGGACCCCCAAAATAAGGTACTCGTACCCCTAATTTTCTGAACTCCCATGTGGCAACACAGTGGCAGTTGGCGTCGGAGCAGTGGCCGGAAACAGCTGCAGAGGCTCGATCTGAGTGCTGAACCGGCTGAAAAGGCAAGTCCCGTAACTTAGCCCAACAAGAGGCAGTACCAACCCAAGTTGCCGAAAGGGAACTGTTTATTATTATTATTATTATCTAGGTGTGGGCTTTAAGGGGCGATTCGACGCAGTAAATCCATGCCCTCAGTCGCCCGAAGACGACAAGGGGGAGCTCCCCGGCTATCACACAATAGAATATGCTATAATGTACTACTTACCGCATACAACGTTACGAGACATATTCATATATATATATATATATAAATACATATACTTCTATGTGTTTGAGAGAACCTTAATCCGGGCCCTGCCCTCTGAAAGCGCTATTCCTGCACGCTACGCCCTGAAAGCCTCCTCGCCAGCAAAAGACGCACAAAGGGTTTAGGGTTTAGAGTTTGGTGCAGGGTTTTTTCGAGTTTAGGGTTCAGTGTTCAGAGTTTAAGGTTCAGGGCTTAGAGTTTAGGGTTCAGGGTTCATCTCCTCTCAACTCAATTTGCAAATCCTCTCACAGGACGCTTCTGCTTGACAGGCTTCCACGCCCATCCGATGGCCCGATGCCCCTTTGCAGGCACCCCGCGGTTCAGAGTGCAAGGTTGCTGGTCCCCGGTTTAGGGTTTAGGGTTTAGGGTTTAGGGAAGTCCGAAACCCTAAATCGTCCGTTGCAGGTTTGGCCGGTGTGGGCCGGTGTCGGATTTTCGACTTCTTGTTCATGCTCCTTTGCCGTGAGGTCTGTGCGTTTTCGACTCAGGGCCCGGTAGTAGTAGTAGCAGTAGTAGTAGTAGTAGTAGTAGTAGTAGTAGTAGCAGTAGTAGTAGTAGTAGTAGTAGTAGTAGTACCCGTAGTACCCATAGTAAGTAGTCGGAGGAGGAGTAGTAGTAGTAGTAG